TTCTTATGGTCCTTAGTTTTTTAAACACTATAACACATGACAGTGTAGAAATCCATTACATGAATTTAACCTGACATTGACAATGTGCAATTTTTTGTAAATTGTTCATGTCACAACTAAAGTTTTGTCAGATTATATATTAGTCTGTCCGAAATACTCAAAAGTAGATTATAAGTTTAGCTTCTGTGAATCAGGGTAAATTTTAAATGCAAATTTTGTCCTTCAAGGCCACTGTGCAATGTCATCTTGGATGGCTAGTCAGGCGCGTTTGTCATTCAAATTTCTTGCAAGTTTCAGCAAATTCCATACGACATTATAAAGGTCTGTGGTTCATTTTACTTTGGCGACATTTATTTGCGCTATCACCTTTTATGTTTTTTTCTACTTTTAGAACTATTATCAGCTAGTGGAGTTGAGGGAAAAACCGCTTATGTTCGCGTTTGTTCCATTTTGCTAAATTCACAACCATTTTGCTAAATTCACAACCATTTTGCTAAATTCATGCAAATTAACATTGCTTGCAGTGCGTGCAGTGCTAATTGCCATTTTACCTGTCCGTTTTTATACCCTTGCAAGAGAGTATTATAATTTCAGTCAAAAGTTTGCAACGCAGTGACCCTATAAAGTATATATATTCTTAATCATCATCACCAGGAGAGTCGATCTAGCCATGTCCGTTTGTCCGTCCGTCCGTTTCTACGCAAACTAGTCCCTCAGTTTTAAAGCTGTATGCTTGAAACTTTCCCAAAAGTTGACTTTTTATTGCAGGTATTTTTATTGTCGGAACAAGCCAGATATGGCGACTGTATCATGCGCTGCCATAGAAAAATCCGAAAAAAATTTTTTTTTTTAATTATAACTTTGTAAATATTATGGAATTAAGTTAAAATCGGACAACAACATCATATAGCTGCCAAAGAAACGATGGCAAAATGCAGTGCAAAGTCGACACAGCTACATTGATTTTAGTAATATAGGCATAGAAATCGAAATGTAGTCGATTTGCAATAACTGCAAGGGTACATACTTTGCTTTCCTGTCTATTTCTACGCAAACTAGTCTCTCAGTTTTAAAGATATCGAATTGAAACTTTGCACACACTCTTCTTTCCTTTGCACGCAGTATATAAGTCGGAACGGCCGGGATCGGCCGACTATATTCTATAACTACCATACAACTGTTTGATCGGAAATGCCATAACTTTGGTGTTTGTAAAGTTAAGAAGTTGGGATTTTCTATGGGTTTTATTTTTGGCCAATCAATCGACCTACCAAATTCCATAAGGATCGGCCGACTATATCCTATAGCCGCCATATAACTGAACGATCGGAAATGCCATAACTTTGGTGTTTGTTAAGTTAGGAAGTTGGGATTTTCTATGGGTTTTATTTTTGGCCAATTAATCCGACCTACCAAATTGATTTTTTATGAGTATTAAGAATACATCATATGAATAGTTTTGGAGAATATAATTTACAGAATATTCTGCAAGGGTATATCAACTTCGGATCCGCCCGAAGTTAGCTTTTCTTTCTTGTTTTTCTTCTTTTTACCCTGATTTGAGCTTTTTAATTTGTTGTTATTGTCCTCCATTCATGCTCACTTGTTTGCGAATGGGGCCAGAATTTCCCCAATGAACTTTAAGTCGGGATTGTGCAACAAGAGTAGGCACACAGAAAACAAGTGAATAAAAACTATTAATTATCATAACTCTAAAATATTTGCAAAACAGGATTGTCATTATAAAAAAAAGATCTAAAATCTGATGAAAACCTTTTTTATGTGTTTTAAATACCTATGTATGAAAAATATGTACAAGATTTCCTTTCAGTGTTTAGACTGTAGACTGGCCGTGGCTTGTATTTCGCCAAAAGCGGTTGAAGCCGGTCGCGGCAATAACGTTATTTTCTTCTTTACCCGATGGTTTTTCTTGTTTCTACATTTTGTCTTCTTTTTCGTTTGTTGCCTTTGCTTTCTCATTCTTCCACACATATTGATTGTTCAATATTTTATGCCGAGTTTATTGACATTTTGTGCGCGAACTTATACGAGTCTTCTTCTTGGATTCAGAAATAGTTTCGGCATGCTTTAGATCATTCCCCCTTGTCCCTTCTCCTTAAGCCTAGTATCCACTTCGACGTAAACCGTACGCCAGTCATGAGAGAGAGCGAGAGGCAAACAGCTGGCGTTCACTTTTCGTCGGGCCTTTTTTTCACTTCGGTCTCCTGATCGACGAAAAAAATACCAGAAAATTGCATAGCGTTGCCAGTCTGCGGAAATGAACTTTGGGTGAACCCTAGCGGAAAGATTAAAAAATTTAATCTTTTGGCGTGCGCTTCTCACTGAACATTATAAGAAATGGAGGGAAAAACTCAAAAAACTCACAAAAGTCGATTGCAGGTGTTTACATGTGAGGACAAAATAACATTAATACTATCTGGGGTGCCTCTTGTCAGAGCAAAATGTTTTTTAGGTCCAGAATGTACGAAAAAACACAATAAAAGTGCAGCTATGAACTTTAAATTAGCAAATAATTATCATAAAATTAAAAAAAAAACAACTGTTAAATTTAAATTGTATTGTTTTTTAACTTCTTTGTACAGCGGCAGACTTGTCTTGCCAAAGCAGTTGATACTATCTTTTAAAGGCTCTTTCCCGCAAATACGATATTTGAATTTTAACTGCTTGTCAACAAACCCAGCTGACTGACAGTACGACCGTAGCACGCTTAAATCCGATGAACTCTCGAAATTTTGGTCACACTGGAAAGATTAAAGTTTTTACGCTAGCATACTCGTTTGTCGATCTGGATACTAGGCTTAACAGTTGAATCCGGTTCGTTTGAACTTAGCATTTTTTGTTTATCCATTTTAGATTTTTTTCCTAAGTAAGGTTTGAGGTTTCTGTTTATCGTATGGTTTTATGTGGCTTGGCTGCATATTATACGTTTCTATAAAAAATCAACAATGTTAAATGTTTTAACTCGTTCAAATCCTAAACCCTTTTTCCCAGTCAATCTTTTTTCCAATTTTTTTCAGAAGGGGTACACTTATATTTTTTGATTTTAAAGCCTAGTATCCACTTCGACGTAAACCGTACGCCAGTCATGAGAGAGAGCGAGAGGCAAATAGCTGGCGTTCACTTTTCGTCGGGCCTTTTTTTCACGTCGGTCTCCTGATCGACGAAAAAAATACCAGAAAATTCCATAGCGTTGCCAGTCTGCGGAAAATAACTTTGGGTGAACCCTAGCGGAAAAGATTAAAAAATTTAATCTTTTGGCGTGCGCTTCTCAGTGAACATTATAAGAAATGGAGGGAAAAACTCAAAAAACTCACAAAAGTCGATTGCAGGTGTTTACATGTGAGGACAAAATAACATTAATACTATCTGGGGTGCCTCTTGTCAGAGCAAAATGTTTTTTAGGTCCAGAATGTACATTTAACACAACAAAAGTGCAGCTATGAACTTTTAATTAGCAAATAATTATCAGTAAATTAAAAAAAACAACTGTTAAATTTAAATTGTATTGTTTTTTAATTTCTTTGTACACCGGCAGACTTGTCTTGCCAAGGTATTTGATAATATCTTTTAAAGGCTCTTTCCCGCAAATGCGATATTTGAATTTTAACTGCTTGTCAACAAACCCAGCTGATTGACAGTACGACCGTAGCACGCTTAAGTCCGATGAACTCTCGAAATTTTGGTCACACTGGAAAGATTAAAGTTTTTACGCTAGCATACTCGTTTGTCGATCTGGATACTAGGCTTAAAAACAGAAGAAATCAGGATGTGTTTTTATACCCTCCGTCCGACTGTCCGCCCGACCGTCTGTCCGTTTCTACGGTAACTATTCTCTCAGTTTTAAAGCTATCTTGCTGGAAGTATATATGTATGTCGGAACGAGCCCGATCGGGCGACTATATCATATAGCTCCCATAGGAACAATCGAAAAAAAAATTCCATAAAATTATAACTTTTTTGTTTTTAATTTTTTTTTGTTCTTTGGGATTTGGTAATTATAAAATATTATGGAATTACGGTTTTAATTAAATTAAAATCGGACAACAATATTATAAAGCTGTCATAGAAACGATGACAAAATGCAGCGCGAAGTCGACACAGCTTCATTGTTTTTAGTAATATAGGCATAGAAATCGAAATGTAGTCCTTCGGCTTGCCGAAGTTAGCTTCCTTTTTTGTTAAATTACATTTTTGTAATGCTTTGATGTTTGCTTCTACGATTTTTTAATTAATATTTGTCATTTTATTAATCAAGCAGTGTTATTTTAGTTTTCTTAGAAATCTCTAAAGTTTTAAAGTTCTCGCAGGGGGTGTTATAATTTCAGTAAAAAGTTTGCATCTCAGTGACTGAGACGTTTCCGATCCTTTATTTTTGATCAACATCACCAGGAGAGTCGATCTAGCCATGACAATTGGGAAAAAAGGAAATAAAATTATAACTTCGTTGTTTCTTATGTTTATGTTTATTATGTGTCCTTGTGAAGTATCGATATGAGATTTATACGACACTCCCTTACAAATTACAAAAAAATCTAAGAATTATGGTTAAACTGCTGTGTTTACTGTAGAGAAATGTTCATTATTCGCGGTTTGTTATCAAATTTCTAGTTGGGGTTGGAATAAATAGCCGTCGCAGAGTCTGTTTGGTTATTTACCTGTTTCCCTATCAGCTATCTCTTTTTTCATCTCTCTTTTTCTATAGTCGTGAAACTGTTTTATTTCGCCATTGCCTTTCGTTTCGCGTTTATTTGCATTTTCACATACATATGTACATATGTACATTCGTTCGTTCGCTAGTCGGTTTGCGCATTTTAATTTGTTGTTTCGCCCGACTGGAACAAATGAAAGACGGATCAAAAGTGTAATGTGCCAAATGCATAAAATATTGAGAAAGCAGGTCAAACTAGCTATAAATAATCGCCAATAAAGATCGCACATAAAAATGTAACCTTATCTATTCTTTGTTTGTTCTTTTGCAGATGTGAAGAATCCTTAGGTGCTAATTTAGTTGATAAGAAAAAAAAAACAACAGAAGTAACGATAAACAGGCAGTACAATAAGTCAACCGATCAAGAGCTGGGAATTCCGACTGGGTGGCAACTCTTCGAAGACAGTACTTAAAAGTATGCTACAAAATAATGCCAGCGATTGCCGACTGAGGCGAAATTAACAGAATCAACCGCATATGTATATATATGTATATATATACAATATACATATATATATTTATATAGACAGACATAGAGGAAAAGAGAGAGAGTGCGGCGCAGAGTCGCATAAGAATCAGGGGAGGAATCGGCAGCGAAATGTCGAAGTTCTTTGTGAATGTTGCCCCCATCAACAACAGCAACAGCAGCAACAACACCGCTAGCAACACCCAGCGACACCAGCAACACTATGGCGCGGGCGGGGCAACTGGCCACACAATGGTCGCCCGCAGACTTAACTACGACCTGCTCGGCGGCACTACCAACATCAACAACAATATTGTGATTAAGAACGAAGCCATCGATTTAGAATATGATCACGGTTTGAGCAGCAGCGACAGTAACAGCAATAGCAACAGCAACAGCAACAGCGGCGTGGCAGCACATCTGCGGGATCATGTCTACATCAGTCTGGATAAGAAGCACGACACGGCGGGAGTGGCGACAGCAGCGACGGCAACGGCGGGCCATGCTCAGCAGCAATTGCAGCAGCATCACCAAAATCATCAGCTGCGCAAGGCGACCGGCAAGTCCAACGATATCACAAACTATTACAAGGTGGGTTGCAGTTTTTGTTTAAAACTATGTGGAAAATATGAAATCAAAAGCGTTTTAGTTTTTCCTTGATGATAAGGAAAAGTACCTTTTTGACTGAATAATTGTTAACCTTCTTCAACTTAGGTTAAACGCCGGCCTCACGCCGTTAATGACGAGATTCACCCGAAGAAACAGGCTAAGCAGAGCGCGCACCACCATACGGTAATCTACCAAAAGCATGTGGCCAGCAGCACGCCCCAGCAGCTGCGACACAGCCAACACCAGGTGCACCACGAAGTGGGGACTGACCTGGACGAGGATGTTGTGGAGCGGGTGTCCAAGCCGGCATCGCATCATTCCTTTGTCCTGTCGACGCCGCTTGCCGCTTCAATGGCTAGTTCCTCGAGCGGCGACCGCAATCGGGCTGATACCTCGCTGGGGATACTGACGAAAAAGTTTGTGGACATGCTGCAAGAGTCACCAGATGGCGTGGTGGACCTGAACGAGGCCTCCAATCGGTTGCACGTTCAAAAGCGACGCATCTATGACATCACCAATGTCCTTGAAGGCATAAACATTCTGGAAAAGAAGTCGAAGAACAACATTCAGTGGCGTTGCGGACAGTCGATGGTCAGCCAGGAGCGATCGCAACGTATCGAGGCGGAATCGGAAAGGCTGGAGCAACTGGAGAACGAACTCAACATGGCTATCGACCAGATGCGCGGAAACCTTACCGAGATCTCGAATGAGGTGGAAAATGCCGGTGGCATGGCCTACGTCACACAAAACGACCTGCTTAACGTGGATCTCTTTAAAGATCAGATCGTTATTGTGATTAAGGCGCCGCCCGAGGCCAAGCTGGTGGTGAGTACTAGGTTAAGGGATAATAGAGGGAAAAGAGAATCCAGAATTTCAAGAAAATTAGGTGAATTTTAGGTGATTTTAGAGATAGATTGTTGAGTTGCCCATTTAATGATGATAAAAAGAAAAAAAGACAAATAATTATTCCCGTTAATTAAGTGTTTACAGTATTGGTTGAAAACTATGCAACACGAGTTCTGGATCAGGAGCACTACCGGAATCGATCCTAGCCATAGACGTCTAATTGTTCGCCCGTGGCGACCCTTCTTCCAGAGGGTATAATAATTTCAGTCAAAAGACTGCTACGCAGTGAAGGAGACGTTTCCGACCCTATAAATAATATATATTCTTGATCAGCATTACCAGGAGAGTCGGTCTAGCCATGTCCGTCCGTCTGTCTGTCCATCCGTCCGCCGTCCGTCCGTCCGTCTGTCCGTCCGTCCGTCTGTCCGTCCGTCCGTCTGTTTTTTGTTTTGGTTGCTTGGGATTTGGTTATAAGTTAAATACTATGGAATTACGGTTTTAATTAAATTCAAATCGGACATCTATTTCATATATAAAAAATAAAAATGAAAACAAATTTTATTTTGCTGTTTCCTTTGAGATATAGTAATTATTTACTACAAAATCGGACAATAATGTCATCTAGCTGCAATAGAAACGATGGCAAAATCAAGCGCAAAATCGACATAGCTTCATTGTTTTTAGTGATATAGGCATAGAAATCGAAATGTAGTCGATTTGTAATAACTGCAAGGGTATAATAACTTCGGCTTGCCGAACTTAGCTTCCTCTCTTGTTATACCCTTGCAGAGGGTATTATAATTTTGGTCAAAAGTTTGCAACGCAGTGAAGGAGACATCTCCGACCCTATAAAGTATATAAATTCTTGATCAGGATCACCTCCTGAGTTGATATAAGCATGTCCTTCTGTCCGTCTGTCTGTTTCTCTCAGTTTTAAAGCTATCGAATTGAAATTTTGCACACACCCTTCTTTCCTTTGCACGCAGTATATATACATAGGTCGGAACGGCCGGGATCGGCCGACTATATCCTATAGCCGCCATATAACTGATTGATCGGAAATGCCATAACTTTGGTGTTTGTTAAGTTAGGGAGTTCGGATTTTCTAAGGGTTTTATTATTGGCCAATCAATCCGACCCACCAAATTTCATAAGGATCGGCCGACTATATCCTATAGCTGCCATATAACTGAACGATTGGAAATGCCATAACTTTGGTGTTTTTAAAGTAAGCAAGTTGAGATTTTTTATGAGTATTAAGAATGCATCATATGAATAATTTTGTAGAATATAATTTACAGAGTATTCTGCAAGGGTATATCAATTTCGGCTCCGCCCGAAGTTAGCTTTCCTTTCTTGTCCTTTTTATTTATTTACCGACGGCTCATATCTCTGTCTAAATTGTGCAGTTCCCAAATACCCTTGTCTACGTCAGAGTTTTTTCCTAGCTGTGCCTTGCCTTCTAGTCAGCTGTGCTTCCTCTTATTGTCTGCATGCCATTAAACGTGGCACTTATTTATAGAAGCCCATCGCAGCGGCAGACATGGTAGCAAAATAGAAAGTCTCGCCGCTCCACCTTGCCATATTCTTATTGATATCAAGTAAATTCATGGCCTCGTCCAACGAAGTTTTCCAATGACCGCTGTCGTTGAGCGGTTTTCCAGATGCCGTACTATTTTTAACTATTTCAATGTTTCCGCTAGCCTTGAAATGTACGAGAGCTTGTACTCAAGAAATTTGAACTAGAAAGCAAAACTGCAGACATCTTGATTTGCAGAATAAAATGCAAGGATTATTATGTGTAGGAATCTTTTAAGCCCTCGGATAACACCAATAGCCGAATCCGAAACAACAATAGAAAAGAGCGAATATAAAAAATAAAAATATAAGAAACCTATGGGGGCGATATTATAAAAAATAAAATATAAGAAACCGATGGGGGGCGCAAAACAGTATAAAAGAAAATATAATTTCTAAAAATACGCGAGCGGCAAAAAAATCCTCAGGCGTGCTTCATTTGTGTTTGTCTCTAGCTGCAGAGCAGTCGCCGACCGCTTAAAAATTTCAACTTAAAAGTTAGTTTGTTTCGCAGTTGCCATTTATCTATATTTAATTGATGTATATTAACTTGCAGTTTGGTTAAAACCTTTTATTTTTTTAATTTTTCAGCTGCCCAACACAAAACTGCCGCGCGAAATTTACGTGAAGGCGGAGAACAGCGGAGAGATCAACGTCTTTCTCTGCCATGACACCTCGCCGGAGAATTCGCCAATTGCGGCTGGCGCGGGCTACATGGGAGCTCCCGGAGCAGGATGCGTTCGAACGGCCACCTCTACTCGACTGCATCCACTGACCAACCAGCGTCTGAACGATCCGCTCTTCAACAATATCGATGCCCTGAGCACCAAAGGTGAGTTAAAGGCCACTGTATTCCGGAGTATCTTATGATATGATACTTGTATTAAATACTAAAAATTAAAAATGAATATAATTGTTATATTTTTTATTATGATCACAAATTAATATTGTTTGATGGAATAAGAAACTATTTATTTTAAAAACAACAACAAAAAACTAGATTTCTATATATACAAAAACCAACCAACCTAAAGCGAATTAAGGCGTAGATTGTATTTAATACTTTTTGTAACTCTTGGATTTAATAATAAAAGACAATTACCTTCCTGCCCACTCTGGAATAATTTACTAATGATTTTATCTTTAATTGCAGTTCCGATGTCCTACCGCTCGGCCCGTAACCTCAGCAAATCGATCGAGGAAGCCGCCAAGCAGTCCCATCCTGAATATAATAACATTTGTGATATTGCGATGGCCCAGCCTCATCATCTGAACCAGCAGCAGCAGCAACAAATGCTGCAGCAGCCGGAGGAGGACGATGTGGACACGGAGCTGAGTCAGCTGGTGCCGACACTGACGAATCCGGTGGTCCGTAGCCATCAGTTCCAGCAGCAGCACCATCAGACTTCCATCCAGGAGCTGTTCAGCAGCTTAACAGAATCCTCGCCTCCCACGCCCACAAAGCGACGTCGGGCGGCAGCAGCCGCAGCAATTGCCGCAGGCAGCGGAACAGCAACAGCAGCAACCACTACGCTTAATAGTCATAACAACAGTAACAGCAACCACAGCAATCATAGCAGCCACAACAGCAGCAACTCCCAACCACCCACATTAGGCTACAGCAGTACACAGCGACGCAGCGATGTGCCCATGTATAATTGTGCAATGGAAGAAGCAACCACAACATCTGTAGCAGCAGCTGCAACATCGCGAGCGGCAACAGTAACGCAATCATCGGCGATAAGCTCGCTGCAGATGCAATTCGCTGCCGTGCCGGATAGCAACAACAGCATCAGCAGCGGGGACGGCGGCTATGGCAGCATCGCTGGCGCTGGCGCCAATGCAGATCCCCTTCAACCATTCAGCCATAGTCGCCACAGCCTGCCGCCCAGCGGTGATGACTGCGATGGTGGCCTCGATGCTCTCTTCAGCGACATTGGCGCGGACGCGGACTGTAAGTATTTGTGACCACCTTAAGTTGTCCTCCCCTCCCAGCGGTTAAAATAATAGTTGCAGGTTTTATAAATAATTTAATAATTCTTAAACTTGTATTTTAATATTTATTATAACTTTTGCCAATGGATGTCCCTGAAATGTCTTGTTATTCCCGTCTCTTTGAAAAATGTCTGCAAAATACTTCGGTTAGACAGAAGTTTCCGTTTTTTTAAACAATTTCAATAATAAAAAATGTATTATTACGATAAATGTAATTTACAATTGTATATCAATGTACAATTTCTTTTAAATCTATTATTTTGACCCCAACTGCAAATAACAATAATTCTGATCGTGCTTGCTTTCGCCCGCCGCCATAAATCCATAATCATTTCGCAAAAGTTTCTTTGTCGTCGGTATGTAAATAACCGCAGCTAACCTTTAACTATGGACCTAACAGGGGACTGTACCAATGAGGCGCACTTGTCAAGAACTTTCTCTGTGACCTGCGTGTATCCAAAAGCCGCATCACAGTCTGAGTTCTTGCTGGGTGTGTATTCCTTAAAGCAACATAAAAACAAGGAAACAAAAATTTCTAATATTTTGTTAAGACGTTTTATTTTGTTATTGCCACATTTCGGCCAACGAGAATCAGTTCAATATTGACATTTTGATTTTATTTTTTCCTATTCTGGGTTTTTATCATGGGCCCACAGAAATCCCTAGTGAATTGGGAATCCCCGTTATCCTGACCACAGTTTAAAACAGAAAGGCAGTTATTTAATAAATTTTATTTGTTCGTCAGATAAATAAGAAATACTTGCCATTTTTGAATTCCCAATAAATAAAAAAAAATCCCAAGAGTCACAAATTTAATTATATCTTGTACTTGTAAAAAATATTCAGTCAATAGTTTAGGGTACAGCCCATATCTCATCAGACCAATTTAAACCTCTATTCTGTGGCAACGCAATTTGGAATTAAAATACAATTTGGAGAGGATGTGATTTCTGTGACCCCTATATATAAATAAAAATCGAAGAATTTAAAAAAAACTACTGTAAATTTATTTAAAAACTAATATAATGTAAAAATCATGCAAAACATTAACTCATTCATTGTGCTCACATTAACATACTAACCATTTATTAACAATATAATTTGACAATGTAATAATTATTTTAGTGCATAAATGTATATATATCGACATACAACCCGTCGCCTCGTCAGCAATCGTCCTCGTGTCAAATTCATTTTGGAACTGAATTCTCGTGGGTCTGCACTGACAACACTGACCGCTCCAGGGCCAATTGTTCATTTTGAAATTGAAATTCTGTAGCACCATGAGATTCAGCTCTGGCGTGAATTTCAAACATGCATCCACAACATCTCTCGCTCTATCAGCTCTCTCTTCCTCCTCTATGTTTGTTCACGGCTTTCGACCATAATCCAATGTAAAACATTTAACAGTCTTATGCTGAAAAACTCAATGAAATGTTGTGTGAAAACCAAATAACGTGTGTCATTTTTATTTACAGACTTCAGTAACGATATTGCTTTTGTGTCTATCAATCCGCCGGACGACATTGACTATCCTTATGCGCTGAACGCCAACGAGGGCATCGATCGCTTGTTCGGCTTTAGTTCGGATGGCTATGGACCCTAAGAAGAGACGTCCATCAAACACACTCACACACGCATATATCTACAACAATTGGGATTCGGGGGGTGTTTATAATTTTAAATTATATACAAATGGCAAAAACAAAAAAAATCAAACAAAAAAAGCAAATTAAAAATATTTAATTTATTTGTATGCAAAACCCACAAAAGAAAAATCCAAAAGTAAAACACAAAAAGCGAATCAGCAAACTTAATGAAACTAAGTTGTGTGTAAAGTTTTAAGCTTAAAATTATATACATTTAAAATTTATAACCCAATCTAATTTAAGAGAAACAAAACAAAAACCCAAAATCTAATTTACGAAAACTCACCCTCTCGAGAGACAAAGAGAGTTTTGCAAAAAAAGGCACATTTTTTTAAAAATTTCAATTTTAGCCTTATAATAAAACAAAAGAGAAGCAAAAGCAGAATCAGGAATATGATGGTTAAAACACACAAAAAGCGAATTCTTCCTTCCTATCAAACAACTTATTTTGGCTTCAACTGTCTGTAAATTAGTAATTAAAGTACCAACACACACAAATAAATTTTAATTAGAAAAACATAAAATTAAACCAATAAAAAAAAAATCAATTTCAAATTGTAAAAAAAAAGATTGAAGACGTTTTAAATTTAAACGGAGCAGCAGAAGAAGAGAAGAAAGCACAAGAACTGGGCCCCCGACCTTAATCCTCAAATTTTTCCCTCATATCCATTTTCTTCCTGTTTTAGTTACGCATGCAACCAAAACTTCTTCTGCCATTCTGTGAATTTGCTTGAATTAATTGATTGATTTTTAATTACTATTATTAAAGCTATAACTATGTATAATAATTTGTTATTGTTATAAAATTTAAACTATAAACACACACACATGGGCCCAATAGCAGTTTATTCTAGAAGCCAAATCATCCCACAAAACAAACAACCAACAACTTAACAGAGTCAACTACAAGTACATACATAATTATTTAAACTTTCGCCTAGAAGTTAAATATTTAGCTAAACAATAAATGCAGCAAACAAAAGCAAATCATTAACTTGTATAAAATCAACAAATAAAAGAAGGAGAACCGCAAACTTCTGAAACCTTTCAATAATTGTACGTTTAATTTTTGTAAGAGAAAACACATTTTGTTAGATACTTTTCGTTCTTTTAACAACAAACACATGAAAAAAATAAATATTAGAAAAACAAAGACAAATTTAAAGAAACAAAAAAGTTTTGAAACTAAATTTCTATTGTTTTAATGTAGTCTCAAACTGCCATATATTGGGGTATCAAAGTATTACCTAAATAATACTCGAGATATTGGTCACTTCTGAATCTAGATTGAACAAGCCTTCATCTACCAACAAGGCCGTCATAATTTTGCGTTGCCGATTTGGGTTCGAAACGTTTTAACTTAAAGGCTAGTACTCAGATCGAGGAAATCAGTTCGTCAGTTATGCGAGAGAGCGAGAGACAAACCAGCTGCCAAACACTTTTCGTCAGGACTTATTTCCAACCCGGTACTCAGATCGACGAAAAAAATACAAAAAAACTTGCTGAAATGAGCTTTGGGGGAACGCTGGTCAGGCCCTAGCGAGAAGAATAAACAAGAGAGAACGCTATAGTCGAGTGCCTCGACTATTAGATACCCGTTACTCAGCTAAACAACTTAATATAATATTAAGTATTAAATAATATATAAATGTTTGCACAACACGAGTAACGGGTATAGCGAATAGCTTTCTTTGAAAGGAGTTATCTTTGCCGGGCAATTGCAACTGTGTACAATGTAAATACATACATATGTATATGCTTACATACATACACACATACGCCATTGTTTGAATCAGACCTAACTTAATTTGATTTGCATAGTTCTTGGGATATAGTTCGGTATTGACAAATGAAAACCATCGCAGTTTCCTTTAATATAAATCCTTATCGAGAATTAACGTTGACTCTGTTGAGCACCCTGGCCAGCTGTTCCAAAGTCATCCGTTAGATGGCGCTATTGTATTGCGCCATCTACCCCAAGACATTGGTACCACGGGCCATGAAAGGCGGAAATGTAGGCGTTAGCCAGGCTTAAGCGTTTAATGGGTTTTTGGGCGTTAGAGTGGGCGTGGCAAACTTTTATTAGGCCAATCGATAGGTATTGACGAAACAAATACATATTAATTAAAATTTTCATAATATGATCAAAACTGTGGCCACAGCTTGTGGCTTGTGGGCGTCAGAGGGGGCGTGGCACCATTTTGAAACAAACTTGCGCTGCGTAGGAACTCCTAAAATCTACATGCAAAATGCCAATCTTCTAGCTTTTATAGTTTCCGAGATCTCAGCGTTCATACGGACAGACAGACAGACGGACAGACGGACATGGCTAGATCGACTCGGCTAGTGATCCTGGACAAGAATATATATATACTTTAAGGGTCGGAAACGCTTCCTCCTACCTGTTACATACTTTTGCACGAATACAATATACCCTTTTAATCTACGAGTAACGGGTATAAAAATGTAGTTATTAACAGACATGCCACTGTTGTCAGAGCATAGTGTTTCTTATGTGACAGTACGACGCAATACTGAGTTCGCTGGCGAACTCGTTTTTTGATCTGAGTACTAGAATTAAAAACTTTAAATAAAACGAAAATGTTGAGTACAAAGGACGCAAACGTGAAATTTGCTTTCGGCATGACGACATGTATTGTGGCAAAAGAGAAGGCGAATGCCTTGCATAAATATTTTGATGCGGAAGAGCCCAGCATATACAAAGTGCTGTGCTGGCCGACTTATGACCCTGCTGACGAGGTCGCCCCCAGGACTTCAGCTAAACCTAAGCAGAATACCTAAAAGAATATTTGAATGGCAGTGCTGGATATTGTCAAGTATATTGGCAAGGCAAGTCTGGCTGTTTAGTAGGAAATTTAACAAGAAAGGAAAGCTAACTTCGGGCGGAGCCGAAGTTGAAATACCCTTGCAGAATATTCTGTAAATTATATTCTTCAAAATTATTCATATGATGCATTCTTAATACTCATAAAAAATCCCAACTTCCTAACTTTAAAAACAACAAAGTTATGGCATTTCCAATCGTTCAGTTATATGGCAGCTATAGGATATAGTCGGCCGATCCTTATGAAATTTGATAGGTCGGATTGATTGGCCAAAAATAAAATCCATAGAAAATCCCAACTTCCTAACTTTACAAACACCAAAGTTATGGCATTTCCGATCAATCAGTTATATGGTAGGTCGGATTGATTAGCCAAATATAGAACCCATAGAAAATCCCAACTTTCTAACTTTACAAACACCAAAGTTATGGCATTTCCGATCAATCAGTTATATGGCAGCTATAGGATATAGTCGGCCGATCCTTATGAAATTTGGTAGGTCGGATTGAAAATAGAAAATCCCATAGAAAATCCCAACTTCCTAACTTTACAAACACGAAAGTTATGGCATTTCCGATCAATCAGTTATATGGCAGCTATAGGATATAGTCGGCCGATCCCGGCCGTTCCGACTTATATACTGCGTGCAAAGGAAAGAAGGGTGTGTGCAAAGTTTCAATCCGATAGCTTTAAAACTGAGAGACTAGTTTGCGTAGAAACAGACAGACGGACAGACGGACAGACGGACAGACGGACAGACGGACATGGCTATATCAACTCAGGAGGTGATCCTGATCAAGAATATATATACTTTATAGGGTCGGAGATGTCTCCTTCACTGCGTTGCACACTTTTGACCAAAATTATAATACCCTCTGCAAGGGTATAACAAGAGAGAACGCTATAGTCGGGTGCCCCGACTATCAGATACCCGTTACTCAGGTAAAGGGAGTGCGAGGGAGATGGAGATGGAGATAGAAACTTTGATCACGCATAACTTTTTAACGAATGGTCCGATTTGAAAAATTTTTTCTACATTTCGATAGGTATTGATAAACACAATAAAATTGCATTTTTACTTTTCCGAAATATTTAAATTTTTAAAATCGTATATAAGCGATTGTGGGCGTTAAAGGGGGCGTGGCACCTTTTTGAAACAAACTTGCGCTGCGTAGGAACTCCTAGAATCTGCATGCAAAATGCCAATCTTCTAGCTTTTATAGTTTCCGAGATCTCAGCGTTCATACGGACAGACAGACAGACGGACAGACAGACGGACAGACAGACGGACAGACAGACGGACAGACAGACGGACAGACAGACGGACAGACAGACGGACAGACAGACGGACAGACAGACGGACAGACAGACGGACAGACAGACGGACAGACAGACGGACAGACAGACGGACAGACGGACAGACGGACATGGCTAGATCGACTCGGCTAGTGATCCTGAACAAGAATATATATACTTTATAGGGTCGGAAACGCTTCCTTCAACCTGTTACATACTTTTGCACGAATACAATATACCCTTTTACTTTACGAGTAACGGGTATAAAAATACAATTTAAATTTCAGAGTTGTTTTTTTAATTTACTGATAATTATTTGCTAATTTGAAGTTAATAGCTGCACTTTTATTATGTCTTTTCGTAAATTTTTGACCTAAGAAACATTTTGCTCTGACAAGAGGCTCCCCAGATAGTTTTAATGTTCTTTTGTTCTCACATGTAAACTCCTGCAATCGACTTTGGCTGGTTTTTTGATTTTTTCTCTCCATTTTTTAAAATGTTCAGTGAGAAGCGCAAAAGATTACATTTTTTATTCTTTTCGCTAGGGTTCACCAAATGTTCATTTCAGCAGACTGGCAACGCTATGAAATTTTCTGGTATTTTTTTCTTCGATGTGAGTACCGACGTGAAAAAAAGGCCCGACAAAAAGTGAACGCCAGCTGTTTGCCTCTCGCTCTCTCTCATGACTGGCGTACGGTTTTCGTCGATCTGAGCACTAGGCTTAAGTGAGGGCCAAGTGTATTTGGCTTTAAGCCGCTGGATTTCAAGTGGTATTTATAGCTGTCCCGCAGCGACTTTCAAGCCAGTTTTCAACTATTCGCTATAAATTAGCAAATAATTATCAGTAAATTTAAAATATTAACTGTAAAATGTACATTGTTTTGCTTTTTAATATATTTGTACAGCGGAGGACTTCTCTTGCCCGCAAACAAGATTATTGAATTTTTACTGATGGTCAACAAACCCAGGTGATTGACAGCACGACCGTAGCACGCTCAATACTGAGGAAAGATTAAAGTTTTTCCGCTAGCGAACTCGTTTTTAGACACTCATACCAAAATTAACCCTAATAACAAGAAATTTGTCATATATTTGTGTTCAATGGGATCATACCATAAATTCTAAGGTAGATTTTTCTAAAATTAAGGGCGTTCTTTTCTAAACCTAAGGCAAAAAGACTTAAAAACAAGAAAAACCTTTCTAAAAAATAGAAAAATATTTCTTAAAAGTAGGGCATGTTACTATACATTTTAGGCTAATTTTTTCTACAAATAAGAAAAATGTATAAAAAAGGTTCCTACATCCTACATTGATGATGTAATTTTTTATTCAGGATTTATGGGCTCTTATGTATATTTATGTATCTGTATATTATATATGATTTAAGCACTTTGCTTTTCGTTCAGAAAAAGTCACAAAAGTGTGTATTAGTGTGAACTCGTTAAGTCGCAACTGTGAAAGTCAAAATATTTAAAATAAATTTTCTAAGATGCTTTTTCATATGACAAATAAATTTTAATTACTTTTCAATAAAAGGTAAAACGGTCTCGACTTATGTGTCAGACTAACCGGTTGTATTTCTTTCAGAGCTCCCGTATAAAAAAAAAAAAAAAAAGTTTGATATAAAATTTTGTTTTTCTGTGTCTTTACGATTTTTTTTTTGACTTTCTTAACAAAACATTTGTCGGCTTTGCCTTCGGTTGGCAGGCCGGCTGCTTGGTAAAATTTCTTTTTCTTTATTTTCTTAGTTCCTTACGCAAGTACAATGTCAGATTCTGGTGTAGTTCCCAAAAAATATGTCTTCCAATTTCAAGCCATCTCGACGAAAGGTTGTCGTGAAACCAATCAGGACTTTCAAGTGGCTAAGCACTCGGTCTTTGCTAAGGACCAAGTCACGCGACCACCAGTCAATACAGACGAAGCTGCTAAGGTAGCTGTTATGAATGCCTCTAGGAATGGCAAGGCGACTTCCTTTGATGCCAATAGGTGCCTCTCTGATACTTCTGATGAATTTGATGATTCCATTTATTCAGACACCTCACCTGTCC